ATGGGGATGTCATATTATTCTTATAATATATTACTAAATCACAAATAACCTCTTTCTTAAATATCCATCCTATCAAATTGCTTTCATGAAGGCAACCCGAAATAGACCATGCTACTCTCGGGCCAAGTACATAGCAGTTATAGTTATGGGCTAAGACACCTAATCCAACAATACTCTATGGCATGACTAGACATACCACTAACAGTTGCCTGATCAGGACCCACCATTTCTGTTCATCTGGTACAGAGCTACCGCAAATCAACACTTGATAGTGTCATGGAACAGAACTTTACTCTGCATTCCTAGGTTACGCACATTCTCCTAATGAGACTATCTAATATCAACATAACTGAACTAGGTATCTTCCATAAGTCTAGGTTTATTCCTAGAATAGATTACCGTGCCTGAAACTAAAATTTTTAATACCAACTCTATTCTTGGGCAACACTAACCTATCTTTGTGTGTGTGTGTGTGTGTGTGTGTGTGTGTATATATATATATATTCCGTAAGAGTATTAGGTATTATTAATCATTTATCTTCTCAATTTTGCTTTGAATATTACTATATAATATTATCTATTTATCCTAACATAAAATAGAACCATATCTAGTTCGCACATAACACCATATATATATCCTAACATATAATCCATGCAATAAGTACATAATTCACATACGACTTCCAGCGGATATTTAATATTTTAATTAATACTTGTATTAAATCATGTTCATGAAAGAGACTATACACTCACTTGACTTAGGTGGGTAACTGGTGATCTGGTCAGAGCTTTGCCTAAAACCTCACATAATTCTGATACCTAAGTACAATTAATATAAAGTTCTAGTCTAATGGTCCTGATGACTAATAGTAGTATAGATTCCTCACTAATTTTTGATGTCTAAATCAAGATTTATCAATTCAGGATCATCCAAGCAGGACAGTTGGGAGGCAAGATCATTATCTTTTCTGAAATCCAACAACCAAGCCAATGTGACCATTCTAAGCACCTCTCTCATAAGTAGATCAATCAGTATAACGACATGGAATTACTGATAAATCTTATTTATAGGTTCATAATAACGACTTATGACTATAAATATAAGTTCATTGAAAATGCAAGAGTGTAGCTTAACTTACAGAGGTTCTTCCTAACAAAAGTTAGGAAATTGCATTGGCAAAGCTTCTACTCGCTAACTACTACTACTTTAGGGATCGTAGGGCTTCGACGAAGGCTAAAACTAAGAGAAAATGGGCTAGAACCGAAGGAAATCGAAAGAGAATGATAGAAGCGGTGTGGAGGAATGAATGAGGCTTGGCCTCCTATTTATAGTTGATTTTGGGGTGCGCAGCGTGCAATGGGGGTGTACGCCACACATTTTAAGGTGACGTCTCCCTAGCCACATTGTGCCATGTGTTAGGCTCTCATTTGTTCGCGTTTTCACCTTCTTCATACGAACTTTGCTTTTGACGTTCTTTTTTTCCTCGTGTAGCTCTCGACGATACTACAATTTTCCTTTAAGCTCCATCGGCTAATTCTGAATTTATTTTTACTTTTTTAGCCCTTATTTTATATGATTTATTAATTTTGCAAAAATTATAACTTTCTCGTACGGACTCCGATTTTAGTGTTTCTTTTACCAAAATTCTTACATTAAAGAGTATTATGATTTTCATTTTTGTGATTTTACCCAAAGGTCAACCATTCTCTACGTACATTTTGATGTTGATAATTTTTAATTAAGTTGTTGATTTTTATTTCTTATAAAATTCATATCACCTTCATATGAACTCAGATATCTACGAAATTTATATTTTTGAGATCGGGATGATATGTACTTTCTGAATATATAATAACATATATGTTTTGCCGCACTTATTTTTACGATTTACGGACAACTCGACTGATTTTTTCTATTTTTCCTTAATACGAAACTTGTATTATATAATTCGCAGTGCACACGACTATAAATTATCATATTCAAGGATTTTATTTTAATAATTATTATTTATTATGTGTAACCTGAGTTTGTTGGTGTTACAAATGAACAAAAGGTAACCGTTTTATTTTTATTTTAAGTATTTTGCTAAAACTAATAAAACCTAGATCTAGATAGCATGCGCACTTAGCTATATGATTTGATTGTTTCCACTACCTTGTTTGTGTGTACTTACACTTACGACACCATCGTAACATTCAAAATCTAATTCTGGCTTGTCCTAAAATAAGGGAGGAAGTGTCGATTGCCTATTAAAACTTGGCATCAGCTATCCTTTTCAATGTGTGACAATATTATTTGTTTGGACTCATATGAAAAGCACGCACAAATTCAAGAACCCACCGTTCCGTGGTAATCAAATTAACCATCGTCAGAAATAGTTCTAGAAGCTCGCCATCAAAGATGATCTCGGCCACATCAGCTTCACCAGACACCACAATATTTGCACTATATACGTATCTCTTTAGATCTTGACTTGTTAAAGGATTTGGAATCGTTACTTCCCTACATATATCTTCCTCTTACTTGGAGACCTTCGTCCTTTGTATCACCATTACTATCACTAATGATAAGTTTCATCCTTTCTTTCAAGTCTAAAGCGGTCATGATCTCATCCAAGACAATGGTGTCTCAGCTATAGATAATAGTATCACAAAAGTCATCATATGAATTTGGTAAAGATGAGAATAGGAACAACGGCAAGTCTTCTTTTTCATATGTGGCATCCAATATTTCTAGATTTTCTACAAGCTATTAGAAAACAGAAAGATGATCAATAAAAGAACTTCCCTCACCCATCTTTAGGTTGAAAGGTCGATGCTTCAGATTTGTTGGGCAAGCTTTTTGTCATGTTAGAGATTTGAAATCAACATCACCTTGAATAGCTGAAATAATCACTTCGAGAATATTACATTTCGAAAATGGCTTCTTTTAAAATTAGTCACCAAATAGTACCTTCGAAAATTGTACATCTTCAAGGATTTTGTTTTTCGAAAATCATGGTTATATGTTATATTTTTTTTCCAACATCATGGTTATATGGTATTTTTTAGAATGGTGTGTTACGTTTTTTTATTATTTGCTTTCTAATGTTGTTAAAGTAGCTTCTTGAATTAGTATTATGTATATGTTCTTATCTTTATTTGTTGTGTGATTGGTTATATTATAGGCTCTCTTAACCTTAAGTTCCATATCACAAGGAGATCTTCGTCCTACTATCATACTATCACCTTTTTGCAGGTAATAAGGATTACTACTTTTTTTGCTTCCCTTCACTTCTCATAAATTTATTTTTATTGAAAACAATATTTATATTTCCAAAACCAACTAATCACATATTATACAGAAATAAAGCTAATAAAAGCAAACAATAGGATTACGAATACATACCAAGATTTAAAAAAAGAATAGTAATTGTATCGTAGTTTACACTTTCCCACCATTCATGATCTAAGATCTCAACTTTTCTGCATACATAAACAAATTTTTATTTTTGTGTCCAAATATGCTATTTTTAATTCATTGGAATTTCAACAAATCAACAAATGTAAAGCTATTGATAAACACTACAATTAGAGATACGTACCAATAACTAAGGAATAAGATTACTTCTGTTGTAGCTTACAATCCCCTTCTCGTTTATGTGGCATGTCTTGTTTTTCTACCTGTTATAAATTAACAATAAAATATGTGTCAACATATGTCATCTTTATGAAGTGTAATACTATTAAAAGTTATGAAGTGTAATACTATTAAAAGTAACAGATACATACAAAACAGATTCTAGTTTCTTCTCGTCCTCTGAGCTTCTTTATGGGTGTATGGGTTCATGGTGGAATAACTATGATATATACCAATAAACTAACCAATCCCCTAAAGTAATGGAAATTATGTTATCATTATTTGATGAAGTTAAAAAATATAGATTTTGTTTCATGATTTGTCTAACGTGATAATCTTTTTTGTTATTTTTGTTATTATTTTTTTCAGAAAGTGGTTTTCATCTGATAATCTTATTTGCTTTTTAGTGATAATCTTAAAAGTTAGCTTTAAAATTAATATATGATTGATAGTTTTATCTGGTTTTTACCTATTTGATAAGGTTTAACCTTTAAATCTCCTAATTAATTTTCTTTGGTGTTGCAGATAAGGAATAGGTTTAAAAGGTGCCAAGTTTTGCTAAGCTAAAAAAGAACCCGGTTGCTGAAAAACAGGTTTAGATTTTTTAGTTTCACAGTAGATCCCGGTTTCTTAATGAAAAACGGGTCTTATAAAGTTTATCCTTTTAATTCCAGTTTTTGTATTTTAGAACCCGGTTTTTTAAACAACCGGATCTTATGGTGTGCCTACGCGCTCATTTGTAATAGCGAACATATAATCCGGTTCTTTACTATAAACCGTGACATACCATGATTTCCAATATAAAGCCCGGTTTTTGCATTATATTGCAAAAACCGGGTCCTATATGGCGAGTCTTATGTGTTGTTTCGTAGTAGTGGCTGTTAATATCTCAAAATATATTCTATTGAATTTTCCTAGAGTTTTATATTATGTACGAAAATGATAAATTTGTATACAAAAACAAAATGATAATACAAATCTACTGAACTTCAATGCATGTTTGGACTAATTAAACTTAGTCGATACTATTGTTAAACATGAAAAACCCCACAAAGACTGGCTAAAACCCCACCAAGACTAGCTAGTGGCTGAGAATGCGAGCCATTATATTCGCTCAATAAGCCAGAGCCATGAATATCGTTGCCCCTTCAAATATCTCCCGTGGACCAGAGAACTTGAACCACACAAATCATATACCCTCTGATAGAACTAAAATCTTGGTAGCCAATCAAAATGAAGTTAAAGAGTGTATCAAGATAAGCATTGATCAACTACCTAGCCCAAAAACCACCCTATAAATCTATGTTCCAGATCCACACATCTTCATCACAGATAAGACTCTCCTACTTCCACAACATCTTTCAAAACAAAATTCACAAAAATGGCAGCTTCCACCATGGCACTATCCTCTTCTTTCGTCGGACAGGCAGTGAAAGCAGCACCATCTGGTTCTGAAGTCACCGGAAATGGAAGGGTTTCCATGAGGAAGACAGCAGTCAAGAAGGTCGCACCATCAGGAAGCCCATGGTACGGCCCCGACCGTGTTAAGTACCTTGGCCCATTCTCCGGCGAAGCCCCATCTTACCTGACCGGTGAGTTCCCCGGTGACTACGGTTGGGACACTGCTGGGCTCTCTGCTGATCCTGAAACATTCGCCAAGAACCGTGAGCTTGAGGTCATCCACAGCAGATGGGCAATGCTCGGAGCTCTTGGGTGCGTCTTCCCTGAACTCTTGGCTCGTAATGGGGTCAAGTTTGGTGAGGCTGTATGGTTCAAGGCTGGATCCCAGATCTTTAGTGAGGGTGGTCTTGACTACTTGGGGAACCCAAGTTTGATCCATGCACAAAGCATTTTAGCCATCTGGGCTACCCAAGTGATCTTGATGGGTGCAGTTGAAGGTTACAGAATTGCTGGTGGACCTCTTGGTGAGGTAGTTGACCCACTTTACCCTGGTGGTAGCTTCGACCCATTGGGTCTGGCTGATGACCCAGAGGCATTTGCTGAGCTGAAAGTGAAGGAGCTCAAGAACGGTAGACTGGCCATGTTCTCTATGTTTGGATTCTTTGTTCAAGCCATTGTTACCGGAAAGGGACCATTGGAGAATCTTGCTGACCATCTTGCTGACCCTGTTGCAAACAATGCATGGTCATATGCTACAAACTTTGTACCTGGAAAGTGAGTTTTGTGAATTTGAGTGCGAGATAATATTTGATTGATGTCGAACCCTCTTGTGAATTAATTTAGTATAATACATGGTTTAATTTTGGGCAAATTGGTGTTAATTTAGTTTTCCTTTCTAATACTAGGTTTTAATCTTCAGTTGATTAAATCAATTCCATGAGGTTAAATTACCTATAATTTTTGTTTAAGAGAATATGACAACCTATAATAAGCGACACTAAGGGGGGTGGGAGGGTTGATGTGACCATTCGGTATTCAGCTGAAACACGATGTCATGTCACACTCTACCAACGGCCACCATGATGTCATTTCGGATTTTTACCAATGTAACAATGTCATGAATGTTATCAATCTAACAACGTGGTGAATGTTATCAATTTCATTTGAGAGTCTCGAGATGTATCGATAAAGAACTTATGTATCTTTTGCAACAGTTTTGTTGAAGTTTGAAAGGCCCAAACCCATATGAGAAACAACTTTTTTTTGAAAAAAGTGGAAACTTTTTATAAATAAACAAAAGGCCACAGCCTTGCGAGGTACAAGACAAGCAAACTAGGTACTAGTTACACTAAAGGGATAGAAATATCAATCAACTTAATGATAATTTCCAAAATCGTCTATGTGCATGACCCAACCAAAAATAGTAAAAATAATGTTATTCCCACTTTAGAAGGATGGGTACGAACCTTCTTAAAAACACATGATTCCTATTTTTTTAAACACACCAAAAATAGTCATAAAGAATAGTAAGCATGATCCTCATTTTTTTAGGATAGCAACCCCAATTGGTAGCAAAGTTCAAGGCATCGGGAACTGTGGAGAAACAATGAGTGGGAATTGGAATATCTCACCGCTGAAAAATCCACCACAGGACCTCCTTTGCGAACGTGCAATCCGTAAGCAAATGGTTGGTTCACTCCGTATCAGTAGAATGCATTTGGTACTCGATAAAAGTAACACAAACTCCCATCCGATAGAGGGCCAAGGAGGATGAGATATGGTCCATACTAGCACGCCACACAAAGCAAATCACATTGAGAGAGACTAAGTGGAACCACACCGTCAGATTATTACAACAAGCAATAATCTAGGAGTCGATGGCCTTTCGAATATCAAGAACATAGAATTTACCATCCCCGAAAAGTTTATAAACCTAAGTATCTCGTGTCGACAAAGGGATAAAACCATTAAAGAGCTCACAAAGAGTGGTCGGCCCCAGCAGCTCCATAGGAAGACATGGCTTCCTCTTCCAAGCCCAATAAGCCTTGTGCAAAGACAACATGTCAAAAATAAAACAATATTTCCTCTTGTCCAACACATAGAGATTGGGGAATTGATATGAAATATTATCATCCCCTGTCCAGTTATCAATCCAAAAAGGGTCCCACTACGAGAGCCAATATTATATGAGAAAAGAGAAGCGAAATCATTTCCCAGTTCATGAAGAGAATCAAATATCGACACTAGATTACACTAAATATCGGGCATGGAACGCTTGGAGAGGTTATTAATAGGCTTGCAACCAACGTTATGAATTCCAAATATAACCCATTGCCACAACACGATGGTCTCTGGCTTTAATCTCCATATCCATTACAGAGCAAAGAAATATTCAGACATTTAAGATATCCTACTCCAAGACCACCTGAGTCTTTGGCAGCAAGAACCTGATTCCACGCCACCCAACAGATTTTAGCTTTTTCTTCATTACCTCCCCAAAGAAAGCTTCTATGAATCTTCTCCAAAGCATCAAGAACGGAAGTCGAAGCCTTAAAAATAGACAAGTAAAATAAGGGTAAGTTGCCAATCTTCCTCCAAAGGATAGAATCTTTGATTTCCAAGAAGAGAGTTTACTTTGGACTTTCTCAATAATCGACCTCTAATTTCTCTTAAACTTCATATTTGCACCAACATGCACCCCGAGATAAGTGAAAGGAAGGACAGCCGCCTCACAACCCACAATGTATGCACAATTATTAATATTAGAGTTGGAAACCCCAATCCCATAAACCTTAGATTTATGGAAATTAACTTTTAAACCCGAGACGGCATGAAAACATTTGAGGATCTGGGAAAGATTCATGAAATTTGAATGAGTCCAATCACCAACAAATAAAGCATTATTCGTATAAAACCTTGGGATATAAAAGGACAATTATTAGGTATGTCAACCCCAGAGAAGAAAGAGCCTTGTATAACCGATCTCATAGTGACATTTAGACCCTCCATGGTTAGAAAAAAAAAAGGAATGGATAGAGAGGGTCTCCTTGACGAACGCCTATGAAGATTGGGAATTCTTTTGTTGGGATACCAATAATTAGAACTGAGGCTCTTGAAGCTGCCAAACTACCCCTAATCCAAAATCTTCTCCTGGTACCAAAACCCATTTGGAGCATCACTGAGTCCAAAATATTCCAATTAATGGAATCAAATGCCTTGTAAAATTTAACTTTAAAGAGGAAGGTGCTACATTTATTCTACTTAACCCACCCGCAAATTTTGTTAATTATCATGGGACCGTCAAGAATGTTCCGACCCTCGATGAAACCGGTTTAGACTTTGTTGATCACGAAACCATTAGCTCTTTTGAGGCGGGCAGTTGAGGCTTTGGAAATTATCTTGTAAAGACAACACATAAGGCTAATGGGACGGTAGTCATTAAGCGTGAGGGGGTCTTTAACTTTAGGAGTAAGCATAATAAAGGAGAAACTACAGACCCTCGCAATACATCAACTGGCTTCAAAATATTTAACAAATCCCAGGATGTCATCCTATATAAGATCCCAAAGCCTCTTTAGAAATTTGAAGGTGAATCCATCCGGCCCCGGGGCTTTTTCAACCCCACAGCTCCAGATAGCATCTTTAATCTCCTCCATGGTAAATTCTTGATCCAAGAACGAGGAATCACATTGGCTAAGCTTTCTGAAACTGGAGTTAATAAGATGTGGTCGCACGGTAATGGTTTCATGAAACTTGTCCCCAAAGAAATTACATGCTTCCTTCTTGATAGCCTTAGCATCAGTGACCCAACAACCATTCATCATCAAGCCGTGAATGTTCCTCCTTCTATTTTTTATCCTTAACGAGTTGTATAATAACATAGAGTTTTCATCGCCATCTGTCACACCCCCAAACCAAGGATGGCGGAAACGTCCGAGGGTGGAGGACTTCATGTATAGTATCATAACAACAAGTATAATAGTGCTCAAAGTACAAACACCCAACATAAATATAATTGAAAAAGTTGCATCATAGTATAGGTTTACATGTTTCTAAATCAATTACATTATGTTGACAAAAATACAATGTTTGACGCCTTACCGTCCCATCCTCAAAAGTTGTTGTTTACCTATTTGACGGATTCCCTGAGAATACAAATCATTTTGAAAAAGTATCAAAAATTAAGTTGGTGAGTTCATAAGCTTTTAGAATGAACGTTGAAATCCTTTCTTCTATAAGTAGTGTTTGTTTGAGAAAATCCCATATTTTCTCTCTAAAATGTATTTTAGTATAAAATGTCAAGACTAATAGTATGCTAATATTTTTTCCATTTATAATTTGAATCATGCAAGTTTAAATTGGCATAAACTTGTTAGTTTAAATGGAAATCCCATAAATTTTATGTTTGTTAATACCCCATGTGAGTTATTATAATCATGCAATGACTTAGTTGGCCTTATATACGACGCTCTTCAGGCGTCGAAATGTCAATGACATTTGTCACCCCAGACCTGCCGGTCTAGCTGTTGCATGCAGCTAAGGTGTAGGTTGTCAAACCTAATATAGATCTATACACAACTATCACGTTCTCCCTACGAGAGATTTTGGTTATAATTAAAGGACTTTTGTTGCGCTACTTGGAAGTAGCATGAAGCGAATGTCTCACAAATTTATTCATTAGTAGATTTATGTAATGCGATAATGAAAACCCCTTTTTGTAGAAATGTAGTCTTTTGTATTGTATACGTAACATAAACTATACCTATTATAGTTTATCCAAACATTGGTAGTGCGTAGTATTCACTTTCTATGTAAGTAGAATGTATATAGCAAAATGATTCTATGTTTTCCATGTTTAAAAATGCATTGATTGTAATGATAAAGAATTCTTACAATTTAGTGAACATTTTACTATAACCTAAATGTATCCAAACAGAAAAGTCATGCAAAATATGAAGGCATCAAGGTTTTACACTTTGCTCAACAAGTTACAAAGTGTTAATGAAGTTGTAATCTGTGAACTTGTTTTTACCATTTCTGCACTGATTTAGAAAAATCACAGCAAATTCATACGAATTTGAAAACCAGATCCATAAACTCTGAGAGTTTAGAAAACATTTCTAGATTGTTCACAAATTTTTTTATGATTTTTAGAAGTCCTTAATTGGTGTGAAAATGTTCATATTCACAGACTAGTCCAAATTCGTAGCTACAGTGATAGGCAGTTTTGAAAAATCACCATAAATTGTAGAAAAATCGTATGGACATGTGCAAGTAGTCATTTTAAAGGTATAAACCTGAACTATTTTCACCTAGTACAGTTTTGAAAACTAAAAAGTTTAAGATGTTCAAAATAGTTTGTGAATGAACATTAAGTTTTCTGTTAAAGGCTGTTGTTTGAGTTTAGTTATGTTGTTGGTGTTTTAACTTGTATCCTCCCCTAAAACTTGAAGAAAACAGGAAAATGTGGGGGTATGAACTCACCTTGAGTGATTTCAATGGATGGATGTTGAAGAACGGAAGTATTCAACTCAAGAACACTTAAAAGATTGCTTAAAGATTCGAAGTTCTAATACAAATATGATGAGGTTTGTGTAAGAAACTTATGATTGGAGTAGAAAGAGGTGGAATAATCATATGAAGGATGACTTTACTTACCAAAAGTAGATGAAGAACTTGAAAATCAGCCTTGGAATCTCGAAATTTAGAGAGAGAAGTGAGGGAGAATGGAGTTTGTTCTTTAGTGGAGAAGGAGTGAAGTGGGAAGAGAGATGACGATTTCCAGCTTTTGTTCAAGAGTATGGCTGGAACAATGGTGGGAAAAATGACAATGATTGACCAGGTATGGGGGAATAGTGGTTGGGTATGGCCTTGGAGTGAGTGTGGCAGGTTGCTTGTGTTCTTGTACAAAGGATAAGTCAACAATCCACCTAAATAACTTACCTACCATATTTTATTCTTAAATAAAGATTTCCATAAAAATGTGCTTAGATTATGGAAATATGGGGTCTTATATGTCGAAATATAAGTTTAGGTGAAAATCACGCGATAAAATCACAAAAAACGGGCTTAAAACGTGAAAATGGTCAAAAATCAGGAAAAACAAGTAAAAATCCGAAGTCTGGGTCAGAGGTTCGGTCCCTGGGGCTTAGAACTGAGAGTAGAAGGGAGTTGAAAGGAGGGTTCGATCGTTGGAGAGGAACCGAGAGAGAGGCTCGGTCGGATAGATTCGTAGGCGACGAAGGGAAGTGAAGTCAAAGGTGGGGTGGGGGGGGAGGCGGAGGCGAGGCTCGGTTCTGGCTTATGCAAGGTTCGGCTCTAGCAGGGCTCGGTTCCTGACAGGCTCGGTTCCAAGGGTCTTCGGCTCCATAGGGGGTTTCGGCTCCTTAGGGTCTCTCCTCTTAGGGAGGTTCGGTCCTAAGAGGGTTCGGCTCTAAGAGGCTGCTCTTCGCGTTAACTCTCCGTTTTGCGTAGTTTTTGGCTATGATAAGGGTCGGGATGACTCGGATGACTATAAAAAGTTGAGAGAGATTTTGAGAGATATTTGGGAGAGATTTCACATACATGGAGAGATTTCACATACATAGAGAGATTTGGGAGAGATTTCACATACATGGAGAGATTTGGGAGAGATTTCACATACATAGAGAGATTTAGGAGAGATTTCACATACATGGAGATTTGGGAGAGATTTAACATACATAGGAAGATTTGGAAGAGATTTCACATATATAGAGAGATTTAGGAGATATTTCACATACATGGAGAGATTTG